GTCGAAGTCTTTGCTTCACTTTCCCAAAAGGAACTAGCGTGGTAGCTGACTTGGTATAAAATGCTTCTTGACTAAAAATAATGTAGCTGTTTGGACCTCTGTGTCATCCTCGAGTGAAAGCTGATAGCGTGGACTCTTCTTCGTGTCACTTGGCATTTATCCCACACCAGAATCTTGGATTTCGTACTTGCATTTTGGCCTGACTAGTGCTAGCCATAGTTATTTGCAATGCTGTCTCTGCCTGCTTTACATTTTTCATATCTGACATGCAATGTGCCTCCCAGAGGAGGTCTTTTAATCTCATCTTTCTGCACCCTCAAGCTGTGTAGACTTTTCTCCAGTCAGCGCACAAAGAACCTACTGAGCTGCTCCTTCTCCCAGCATCAATAGGATTTTCCAACATAAATCTCTCATCTATCAATGGATTAACATGTTTATCATGCAACTCACTGAGTGGATTAAAGAGCTCAGGCATGGGTAATAAGATATAGTACCTTTCGCTGCAGTAATGCCAATTCAGCCCAATCCAGGACGTTAGTGGCGGGGAGTTACCAGTGGAACTGCATCGACTGAGAATGGTTACAACCTCGTGTCATGGATTTCTCCCTGGGCAGGGTGGGGAGCTAGTGAATGGAGTGAGCTGTGCAAGCAGTGTCTTCCCATTTCAGGGAACAGAAAGATATGCATCCAGATATAACTTGGACAGATTTTAAGACGTTTGATAGAAGTAAATTGTGGTGCTTTGGGATTTCTTGGTTTGCCCTTTTAAAGAGGGGAGGGGGGTGCAAAAATCCCAGTATCATCTTTATTATTCGCAGTTTTCTTCAAATGTGAATAACGTTTGCAATAGTATTTATAACTTTGTTCAGTTCTGCACCTCAGATGACGTGGCCCAGGACACTGATTGGTGCCCTTTGGCTATCTTCTTGGGGCAGTTGTGGATTTTTGAGGCTCCCCGCTGGTGCAGATTGCTCTGTATGGAGGGGGACGGGACTGGGCTGCACACACAGGCGGATTTTGTTCTAGTTTTAGAACTCTTTTTTTTTTTTTTTTTTTGAACGGACAGTTTACTTTTGTTTTTAAGCATTTAAAACTCTCCTGTCACAGTACTGTGCACAACCAACTTTTTTTTTTTTTATTTGAAAGTGTATAGCTCCTGTTACACAGAACTAATGTGTTTGGACCCCCTTGAGAAGGGAGTCACTTGGAAAATGAGTCACAGTTTATTTCCAAACCTTGAAGTGATGGGTATGTGATTTTTTTTTAATTTTTTTTTTTTTTCCTTCTGGATTTTTTGAAACTGTTTGTCAGAGAAGATAAGCTTCAGCCTTGGTTAAAAAGAATAAATTATGTGGCAAAACAATTTAGGAGTTCAATTGAGGGCCAGAGAAAGTACGATCCATATGAAAGGTCAGGTATGCTGTTAGTTCTCTATTTTTTTTTTTTTTTTTTTAAGTTCAGTCATTCTTTTACTTCTCCCTGGAAGTAGTTGGTAATGCAGAGTTTGGTGATGTGTAGAGTCCTAAAATAGGCTTCTGCATTTGGAAAATACGTCTGTTAGTACAGCAATTAGTGGTTATGTATTGGGTTGTTCTTAAGATAATGTTTCTGTAAGGCTGTTACTAAGGTTATGATTGTTCTTGCATCGTTTTGTCTGTCTTTCTTTCAGGAAAACATTACCAAGCAAAATTTACAGCAGAAACGAGAACTTACTCATAACCTAGTATAGTGAAGTGGAGACTGTATAGCATCATGATAGTTTTGAGGAAAAGAGCATCTCGATCGCTTTCCTATGCTAGTAATTAACTCTCCTGCTTCAGCTGATAGTCCTGTTGCACACGATGGCTTTCTCATCTATGTATGTTATTATAACAGAAATAATACTTAAGATTTTCAGACAAAAGAGGATGAGTAAATTATCATCATTACCAGATTTCTTGGCTGCCTAATACTAGGTTCAGGGATGTTAGTACTTAGGTGAATGGAAATGGGCTTCAGAGCAGCAGTACTGAATAGGCACGTGAGCAGCCGGCATAGCAGGAGGTAACTGTGTGTGTGAGTGTTTGCATGGGTCCACGGATTTTGTAGCTGGCCTCACGGTAGCTGTGTGAACGGGGACTTTTTTGTTCCATGAACTTCCGAAGCTTTTGCACCCCCATGTAGATTTTCTTTCATTTCTATTATGAAAGTAAACTTGGGGAAATAAGGATTTGGTGTAGAGGGATGGGTATTTTTAAAAGGACCCTTGAGCTTGTGGAGAATGCAGGAGGAGAAACACAGTGCATGCAAGGCGGCCCTGACGGCTGGTGGAGGGATTTAGTGAGTGAGGGGCCAAGGGTCCTGCATGCCCAAGGCAGAGCGGCACCCAGAACCAAACGAAGGCTGTCGAGGCCAGGATTCGAGGTGCAATGACTATATAGCTATCTGGAGAGCCAAGGTGGTCTCTTCTAGAGATGGAACTGTCTGGAAGAGGGTGCTTCATGTGTCCTTGCCTACGGCTGCCACCAGTTGCTAGTTTTCAGGTATTGGTCTGAGACAGTATCTTATCTGTTGAACACTGTGTTGAATGACCCTTGCTGGAAAGTAAATGCAGGTTTTCCACTCAGCGTGTCTGAATGCGAGAGCTCAGGATTAAAATGAAACACTTGCCTTTTTGAGGATTGAAAGCCAGTGCTTTAGGCGTCTGTGAAGAAACTAGAGGCTGCGTGAGAACATCCCAGAAGGTTTAAAGAAAGAATCTGGTAAAAGTAGCAGTTACGTCTTACTCAAAAGCCATCAGTAGCTCTCCTTTTCCAGAATGGAGGTTGCTTTTTAAAATGTCCTGAAACCTCACCAATTTTGTCTTTCTCTTCATCCCCTTTTCTTCTGCTCTTCATTATTCTGTCCCCACTGTAAGCCCAAGTGCCTCTGTCCCAGAGAGCATCTCTTGCACGTGTAACAGTTGTGTAGTGTCACGCTTGTTGTGTTGGGTCAGGCCGTTTGCTTGGTGTTGCTCATGAAGCTGGCATAATTAGTGTGAATTTACTCTGTTACGCCTCTTGCTATTTTATGTTGTGCAGACGTAGGTCAGGCAAAGTGAAAGGAGTGGGAGTTCTGGGTGTCTCTTACTCCTTCTATCTTGTCAGAGGTTCTTGTTGACTCTGGTCCTCTCCAGAAAATGCAGTGGAGATACATTAAAATGGATAATGTTTTTCCTCTGTTTTTGGTTGTGGTTGTCATGTGCCTTCCTTTTTCTGCTTCATTCTTTGTTCTTCATCTCCAAAAAGGAAAGCATTTGCAAAGCTTTAGAAATGTATGATGCTCACATGCTGTGTGGGCTGTGCCAGCACTGGGTGTACCTTTTATTTAGTCATGTGCCCCCGAATTCTGAGGCTGAGGAGCCACTGCCATAACATACTGAAGGTCAGCGTTACATTGACAGTGGCTTTGCCACAGATTATTAAATTCAGTTCTGGGTGATGGCTGACAATGCTACCGGTTGCGTACAACTCCTGGCCAGTTTTGCCTTCCTCTTTGGGTGGCCAAGTGAAGTGATTCAGCTGGATGCAGTCGATAGTTGTCCTGAGGCGTGGGCTTGGCAAGTGCTAAGAAGGGGAGACTAGCTAATAAAGAGTGTCAGAGGGCCAGGCTGACAAAGGTATGGAAGTGTGAAAAGATGCAGAAAGTGAAACGATTATTTGGCATGTATGTGTGTCCTTCGGCAGCTGAGTGCCTGTATTCCTGTTTCATTGAATTTGTTGGTGATGTTAGTCAGCAGAGGTCAATGCCTTCCTTGCCTGAGTGAACGGTAGGACTTTTTTGTGGCATTCTGTACTTGCGTGGAGGAGGCAGCCACAGAAATCTTCTAGTGATGTGCTGGTGTGTTGCACATATTTGGGCTGGTTGCAATAACCCTGTTAGGATGATGGTTTGTTGTCTTGATAATTAATGGAATCCAGTTGGTCTGAGGTAGGTATTTTTAACTTCAAGTGCTTTTAAGAAAGGAAGACATGAACAGCACTTGCTAATGAACAGTTATTTCAGAGTTCTTATTGTTCAAAATCATGTTGTGATTTTGCTGTACAGCCAATGGTAATGGGGTTGCATATTTTATTATTCATCCATGAGATAGCTACGTGTCTTCTGGCGGTACGCTGTAATGTGCTAAGCAAATGCCGTGGTTGGTTGTTCGTTCTCTCCTCCTCTCAAGAGAGGATATTGTGTTTTGTGGTCTAGTGTTTTGTTCGGATGGATGCAGAAATGGCTGTACACCCTGCACTCGTTGGCACTGGCAAAGGCAACAGTGAGGTGCGTTTTTCCCTTGGAGTGGGAAGCGATGACATCTGTGGGAGGCCTTGTTCCGGGGGGATTCTTGTCACGGCCCTGCACCTACCTCAGTAAAGCTGTACCAGCTGCACGTGGCAGCTTGCCCTTCGCCGCGGGCAGCTGCACCGCACCGGGGAACAGAGCTGTGGGCTTCAGGTGACCTTCCTGGCAGCTTGGAGTGGGGCAATTTGAAGGTAGAGATAATGACCTAAGAGAGAGAGCACTCGTGTTGATGTATCTAGGGCCTGTACTTAGTGTTGTTTGTGAAACACAGTTGTTTGTGAAACATTTCCTGTGCCAGCTCTGCTAGAGTCATATCCAGAGTTCTTCATATTCGATACCTTTGAATATAGGTCAATGCTTTCTCTTTAAAAGCCATCTTTGTAAATATTTCGGTAGTTTGCAAGCCTTTGTTTTATTGTTTCTTTATTGAACACCCACCAAAAATGTTTTCCAAATCAAGACTCCTATTTTTGATATTTCCTGTTGGTTTTGAGTTTGATGGGGGAGTTGCCTTTTTTGTTTTGTTTTTGTTTTTATTTTTTTTAATCCTTTCCCTTGTTTTCTACCTTCCCCTACATCCAAGACTGACAGTGGCTCCCTCATGCTTCCCAGTTCTCAGTTCCACCCTGAATAACTTTGACTCTGGTTGGGAAAACAGATTTTACTCTTCTTCCATTCCTATTCTGTTGCAGATTTTGACTTGAACTATTTTTGGCATTGGAGCAAGTTTACAGACTACATCCAGTGTGTCCTGACCTTCACTGGTGTGACCGGTTACATCACTTACCTCTGGCTTGACTCCTCGCTCTTTGTGGAAATGCTGGGCTTCCTTGCCGTGTTCACCGAGGCCATGCTAGGCGTGCCGCAGCTCTACCGTAACCACCAGAACAGGTCCACAGAAGGAATGAGGTACAGTGTTTGTCATACATAAAACAAGCAAGGGAGGGGGGTGTGCGTGTAGGTGAATGTTTGTGTACTGTGGGAAGACTTTTCTAGGAAGGGCAATGTTATCTTTCTAAATTTTACTTGAAAATGCAGCAGCTGCCAGAGTAGGTTCTCTGTCAGCTGGAGCTGGTGCAGCACTGCTGCAGGCGGTGGGAGCGCCGTTACACCTCTGAGGTCTGACCCATTGCTCAAGCCCAGCTGGTCAGTTCCAAGGCAGAACATGTTTTAGTGCCAGAAACGTGTAAAACTGATGCGGTTGCCATGAGCGACATATTGCAGTTCAGCTCAAGCTGTGCTACACTGGTAATTAGAAATGGACTGAAGAGATCTTGCCTATCAAAAATAATGAAGTGGAAGAAAATGTTCTGAGCCTGCAGCGAATAACTCTGTCAGCGTAATTCAAATATTAGCTCATCACTTTTTCTCACATATCTACTCATCGCTTTTGCATGATACATTATTATGTGTGTAGCAAATGACATGAGTGTTTATTTTTGTGTCAAAGCTTCTAACTGACATTTAAAAAAAGCTCAAAGGAAATGTTTACAGTCAGGAGTAGGAAGCCCTCTGTAAACAAGTGTGGGACAGAAAACTTTAATCTCGTGCCCACTGTTGGGGCGTTAAACTAGATTGCCTTTTCATACTGTTGACTGGATATCTCAGTGATAACACTAAGATTTCCAAATGGCAAAGGCAACTCGTAAAGCTTTCAAGAGAAAAGATGTTCACTGTGGTGCATCAGTGCACTGGTCTGTGGAAACAGTACAGCAGCAAATTCAGCTGACAGAGTGCTTTGGCTCTGTCTTCTCTTTCCTTGCTTTTACACTTGCCAGGATCATTTTTACTTTGGTCGAAACAACTAACCAGTCCCCACTGACCCCAAACCAAAGCAATTCTGTCCTTTGTCTGTTGACATCGTTCCCTTTACTTCTTCGGCCTGGAGATGCCTATACCAGCTACTTTAAGCTATTTTCTAGCTTGAAATGTTGTTGAGGGAATGTTCAGAAATTTGCTCTGATGCTTAACACATTTTCTGATGGGGAGCCCCTTCGGTACAGAGTGAGTCAGGATTTACTTCCGGAATATTGGGGTATTTTTCATGCATACACTGCCTTGGAAAATTCTGTACCCATGATATCCAGAAGGCAATTTACTTCCTAGACCTTCTTTATGCTCTGGTTTGACTTTTCCCTTTTTGTTTTTTATCTGTGAGTCACAGTGTCATAATGCCATATTATGATAGCCGCTGCCAGATAATGGTTTGTGTTTCCTTGGCTCCTCTCTGGGGACCCGAGTTTCACTTTTCCAATTTCCTGTATATGCTATTTAGCAAAAGGAGAAAAAAACCCTTTGTTCTTCACAGCGATAGTTTCTTTGTAAAGCATTAAGCACAGAATTGCAGAAGTGTCATCTAAAACTGCTTGGCGAGTGTGCTGTGTTTTTTCAAGAGAAAATAGCATAAAAGCTCTTGTTGCCTTGCCATCAAACAGAACCAGGTCCAGCAATAGCCACCCTCCTTACCGTGTCCTTGTCCCCACGGGTTTTCCCTTGAGGCAGTACTTTGCGTGGCATTGGACATCGATGGGTCTGGGGACCGATGAGGCAACAGACAGCTTGTGCTGCTTTCCTGCCGTTGGAGTATGTTCATGGAAACGCACCTGTTGGAACTCTTTCTTTTTTGGGGTTATATTGCAGTTTGATACATGTTGCAGGCACCACGCACACTTTCTAGCACCATGCCATCCTGAGTTGACTTGATGGTCTCTAAGCCCTACTGGGCTGTTCCCACTGTGAGAGTGACTCCTGCTAGTGTACTACCTGCTGGTGAAGGAGCTGTTGGAAATATTTCCTCGAACTGCCTTTCCTGTGCCTGCTTCTCTGTCTAGGAGAATGTCGGAGAACAGACCCCAAGTCCTGGAGGCGCTGCAGGGAGCATGTAGCAGTCCAGCAAGGCTACGCATAGGACTCAAGTTCATAAACTACTTGCCTGGGTCTTGACCAGATAGGGGCTACTTGAGCCCACTGCTCTGTGCAGTTATTTACTGCTCAGTGCAGAAAGAACATGCGTGTGGATGGTCACACTGTCAGAAGGCGTTGGACCGGTGATCCTCTGCCCATCAGCCGGGCCATAATGGCTGGCCACCAGACATGCTCTTAGCCAGCATCAGTGACAACGTAAAAGAGATGAGTTTCAAGTGTCTTTGTGGCTTTAAGGTCAATGGGGAGAGCAATGAGAATTAAGCTGTTCTATTTAGTGATCTTTTGGACCGTATCACATCCTAGTTGGAGGTGGTAACTCCTTAAACCACGGTAGTTCTGCCCCCTGTGGTGCATGAATGGAGCCCTGATAAACATCACAGCCTTTAGTGCTGCCAGAGGAGGGGTTGTTTGGAGGTCCTCATGGCGTGGTGGAGAAAAGCAGCAACATGCATCTGTCTCGGAATTGGGGACATGGCAGCTGCTGCGTTAAGTCTCTTTCTACTTTAGCAAATAATTCCTTTCCTAAAAGTAAACTGACATAATAGAAGTGGAGAATAAAGTTCCAGTATGTGGCCATGTCTAATCAGAGTATCCTGCCAGACTCCTCAGGCATTGTACTGTTTCTGAAAAAAGGCAGCAAACAAATAACCCCCCAGCCCCCCCTCCGATCCCCCTTTCTGTTTAAAGGAGAAGCTGAGGACATCTCATGCCCGAGGTACCAGTCACTTCCTGGTAAGCAAACTTGGAGACCAGAGGCCGTGAGAGAGGTGAATGGGACAGGTGGCTGTGGTGGCAGGCAGGATAGCCTTTGGGGGTCTGTTGTGAAAAGGGCCACATCACCTCGTCTCTGAATTTCAATCTGCTGCTGCCTGCAAAGTCCCCTACTGAAAATGTGCTCAGTGTCCGAGGCAAACATCCAGAGGACATCTGCAGCTGAGTCAGTTGTGTTTATTGTAACAAGGCGTGGCTGGAGTGAAGAAATCACAGTTAATGTGCATTGTAGTGCTCCTGAGAATGAGTCTTCCAGTTCTTTGAAACCTCTGTTCTGCTGGATAGAGCTCCTCACTTCTTGTTTTTATTTATGTCTTCATTTCTCCCTATTTTTCTCATTTTCTCTCTTTTTGTAGCCATATCACTATTAGGCCCTATAGTTTCCTCTGGTGTTCTCAGAGAGCAGAGCCCGAAGGAGAAGTTGGAATGAGATGGAAACAACAAAAGCAGAAAGGAGGTTCAAGCTGAGTAAGAGTTTTTGTGGAGAGAAGATAGTGTAGTATGTCCTGGTGGGCTGATGATTGAAGAGGGGAAACTATCCCATGATTAAGTAAACAGAACTAAGCCAATGAAAGGAACAGAAATTTCCATGATGTACTGTTTGACAATTCACCTGATTACTTTTAGAGTTAGTACTTCGTAGAAACTTAGAGCTCTGCTCAAGCATTTAAGTACTTTTGAATAGTTGCAAACCTACATAGTGCAGTCGTAGTTCTATTAATTATGGTACTAACCTTGACAGAAGTGCTTTTTTAATCAATTGTGTCAATACCTATCAAAGAAATAATAAGTGATTCAGTTCGAGAAGTGAACTAGTTCTGTCCAGTCACCTAGTAAAAGAGTAATTTAATGACATTAATTGTTGTCAGGATGGATTAGAATCATGAGTATGATTATGTTTGCATTGGGTAGAAACAGGAAAGCAACCTCAAAACTTAAGAGCTGTGGAATATAGGAGGCATCCTGTTGTATGGGAAAAAAGACATTATGAGGTTAAAAGATGGCTCATCGCTTATAAATTTTTTTTACATTATGTGGTAAAATCTTTCAAGATCTTGACATCACCAGCAACCCCCCTCTCCCATCTTCCAGGAGGCAGAGCTACTGACGGCTACAGCTGGGATCTGATGCCCCCCTCCTATTACTAACTGCTTTTGCTTTGTGACAAAACCCAGGCAGACAAGAACTTCCTCTGTCATTTATCTTTATGTCCCCACTCCTCAGATACTTGCCTCCCAGTCGCTTTCCCCTTCTCATAAAGAGCGGTCATGAGAAAAGGCAGTGCTCGGTGTTCAGCGTGAGGGAGGGTTGGCTCTGGATCTGGCAGCAGTGCTGCTGTGCACAGAGGTCAGTTCATTGGGAGAATCGCATCCTGGTGGGGACGGTAGCTTTTGGGGAGCTCCTGCAGGGAGGAAGCGTGTGCTTTTGCACAGGGGTGGGGAGAACCTCATCTCCATGGGAGGCAAGGGCTTGTGCAGGCCCTGGTGTTACCTCATAATCCCATCAGACCTGCCTCCACCAAAGGAAGAAAGGTGGAGGGTGTTTCTCTGTGTGTCTGTGACAAAGCTGTGGGTGTGTTGTCCTACCCAAGGATGTGTTAACCCCGGCACTGCACAGGGGTGGATTTGCTCCAGGGCAGCCTGTTGTATTGCATTCCTGTCTGCTGCCCTTTGGAAAAAATAACTGCCCGTGGTTGAAAGTTTTTCACAAAAGCTCACCAAATTCACCTGGCAGTCACCGTTTTTTTTTTTTTTGACTGTCAGCTGCTGCCCCAACCCTGTGGAGCAACGGCTCCTTTTCAGTCAGTGCTTGGAGTTCAGAGCAGCTGGATGGCAGAATGTCCCCAGGTCCAAGAAAGAGGTCTGGCAGCAGGACTGAGCTGGGCTGCGTGTCTTGAAGCCTCAGAAGCTACAGTCCAGGTGATACCCAAACGTGCCCATCAGTGGTTAGCTTGGAAGTGGGTCCAGTAAGCAAGGTCCTCTGGCAGGGGTTGTCGAGCTCCTGGTGTGCACTGTTGTCTCTTGCCTGGCTGCACTCTGGGTGGGAGGCAGCACGCGCTGAGGATGCAGCTGCGGGGGCGGAGGGACAGAACCAGGGACGGGCTGGGTCGTCCCTCTACCTTTTCTAGCTCGTGGCCAGTTTTCAGTCTGCTTGAAAGGAGCCTCCTTTCTGCACGTCTTTGACTGTCATATTTGGCTGGTGTTGGGTCAGAGGCTCAAAACTTTGACACCCAGAGACAGCCGGCTGTTGTGCTGATGTGTTGATAGGAGCTGGTCTTGAGAAATCTGGTCTGAAAAGGCCGGATGAGGAAAATCTCAGTATTGCATTCAATCAGATTATTGTGCGATGAAATAAAGCAAATACTAATTTACTCCCTCCTGTGGCAGTACTGGGTCAGTAAGGGAGATTATCCTGGTTTAAAAACCGCAAGTCACTGAAGGAGAAACAGTCGGCATTTGTTGCCTCAGAAGCTACTGGAGCCAAGAGCTGCAAATTTTACGAATTTTAAGCTTTTACATTCGGGAGTGTTTTATGAGGTGAGCAGCAGCTGTGAGCTAGTTACAGCAGGCATGTATCTGAAATGTACCCAGTGAAATAAGTGCAGTGTAAAGAGGTCTGAAAGAAAGAAATGGTATTAAATGTATATCCTGAAATGTTATTTCCTCTTTTCCCCTATAGATAATATTAGAAGTACCAGAAGACAGTATTTCTTAGGGAGATAAAATATTGTTGTGGTGTGCTTTTATCTAGTATTGCTCTAGAGCTTTTTCCTTTATGACACATGCAGCTCTCTATATCATTTTTTAAATGCAGCTTTTGAGGACACTGTTTGTCCCAGAGACAAATCCTGGCTTTATTCAAACTCTGTGAAGATTAATGCGAGCTGCTAGATTTTTCTGCCTGCGTTGGATTAGCCAGGTGCTGTGATGAACAGATGTAGAGGCTTTATTCAGGATTGGCTAACTGATGTCTGGCCACCTCCTCTAGTGAGATTTTAGATTTAAGGAGGTTGGGCAAGTGTTCTGAAATGCCACGGCTCTGGTTTCTTGGCATTTTTTAGGCTGAGGGAATTTTTGAATAGCGAATAGGTAAAACAGCTCCCGTGAGTTACTTCCTTTGGAGTTCTGCTGTTTAAAAGAAAAGAAACCCCTGAGCTAGAGAGAATTAGCAAGAGTTGTGGATATTTCTGCTCAGGCACTAACTACGCATTAGCTTCTTAACTAAAGAATAAATTTAGTTCCATTGAAAAGAGATGTTAGATGCAATTGTCATCCGTTACAGCAGCTTCGTTTCGTATCTGTGCTTCTTTGGGGAGGCTTAGTAAAGGAGTGGGAGCGATTATCTTGAAAAGAACTTAAAAAGTGCTAAAAAGGCGGCCAGTTAAAAGAGGATGATGCAGGCAATGGCAGTATTGATTTTTTTTAGGGTTTTTTTTCCCAGCTCCTGTTTCTCACTGACAGAAATTGCGCAGATGAGAGCAAAATCAAAGAAATAGGAGCAGGGATAATGGATGCCTACACGAGAGATTTCCTTTTCTGAGTATGCCATATCCGTAGAGCAGACACTGGCCATTGCAGCAGTGACCCAAGTTAGCAGCGCGTTGCGTCCAGTCCGGGACTAGCACCGAGGAAGCTGCTGGAGGGAGAGCTGTTTCTCTCGGGCTTTGGAACTGTAGCCTCCAGGTGCTGATATAACAGTGTCTACCCTTATTCTTAAACTAGTAGCTGCTTTATGTATTAAACAGTCCAAACAGAGGAGGTGGAAGAGGGGTACGGAAAATGGGGGCCACTTAGCTTCAAAAAAAAAAAAAAAAGGCAGAATGGCTTTGTGGGTTCAAATCGTCTGACCCAACGGAGAAGCGGGTTTTCGTTACAGATAGCATCGTGTAGGCAATCTTAAGGACTAAGTTATAAAAGAGAAAGTAGTTTTCAAGAGAATAATTAGGAACTAAAAGGTAAATCTGGGACCCAGGCAAATGGAGGAACCCAGGTCTTAAGTGTGAGCCAGAAATACATTGGGTAAATGCAAAATTATTAGCACTACTTAAAAGTGGTTTGTACTTCATGTTGTATAGACCATTCCTTAGTGCCACTGCCTTTCCTGTTGCACTGACTTAATCAAAACTGTCAGTGTGCTTACAGATTGCCTGTTTTAAACTATTCTTATAACTTACTGTAGTTCTGTGACTGTTTTCATTTGTCTTCCTAAATGCCATTTCTCTCTACTCAGGTCTTTAGTTTTCTCCG